CATCAGTCACCACCAGAAAGTACTCAAGTATCGAGGGCAGATAAACATGAAAAGGGTTCTCCTTGGGGACCCCACAGAAGTCCTCCTACAGCTTTGTCTAGTTCAATGTTAAAAGTCCCAAATGACAGGATTCACAGTAGTTTTCTTCAGAGACTATTGCACAAACTCACAGATTTTACATAGAAGTCACACTATTACTATAAGTAAGTATTACTTTAAGTCTGAACCATCAGAAAGGAAGAAATGAGAGAGTAACATGAACAGAGCAAAACAAATAAAATTCTTCGTTTCACGCTCCATTCTTAAAGGAGAAGAAAAAAAAAAAAAGACTCCCAGTGCTGCAGGTACCAAAACCACAACTAAATGCTGTAAATGACAAAAAACATCAATGAAAAAAAGTTTCAAAAGTATTTGGAGGCCTACTTTGCACACAAAGACCCAACACAAAGCAGTAGCATTCATCCTTGAAAATACGCCTATAATGAGAATCAGGCATTTAACATTCCAGATATATGGTATGAAATAACTGAGGATCCCTCTCCTCATTTGGACAGGAATCTTACTGAGTAACATCGCATGCTGAAGAAACTCCATAAGATGATTTTTTAAACAGTTCCAAAGGCTTGACAAAGGGTTTCTAAAAATCCTTGTAAATGGATCTATGTAGTTTCCTGACATTACAAATCTTAGTACTGGCATGTATAACATTATTTCTCTCATGGGCTGAATATTTCAGAGAAGTATTTTTAATGTTTAAGAACTGTTATTCTTTTTTTCCCATTTACTGCCAAAAAAACAAGTACAACTACACAGAACAAGTGGAATGTATTTCTAGAAAACGAGACATTGCCATCAGGCACACAGGGGTGAAACAGAACAGCACATATTAAAATAGTACTTGCAGGACTAAACCCATTCTGTACAATACCTGGAACTAGGAAAGAACCATAATTATTTTCATTCTTTTTTCATTTTTGTTATACAACACATCTTTGAGATACAAAAATGTTTTAACTATGCTTGATCTTGCAGCCTTCTCAACCTATTAGGACCCTATTCCCACTTGCATAATACATATAATCGTCTCAGCAAATGAAAAAAAATCATGTCTACTTCTCATTGTAGTAGTCCAATCTCCTAGAAGTGTTACTTTGCTTTGATGTAATAGTAGCACTATGTTAAACACAGCAGGCATAGTTTTCAGTATACCTTTACCATTTTCCCTATTAAATAACAAAAAGAACTTACGAAACATGATTTAAAATTGGTAAGTTAACGGTCAGCATTAAAAAAAACCGTTAACAGTTCTGAATATCACTTGTGCTGATTCTTCTCATCTTTCCATTTCAGCTTACCTGAGATATGGGGGAAATCTGACTTTGGCCTGGCTGATTCTGAACATGAACAGCATCTCTCTCTCGCATAGAATCCACTGCATTTCCATCCTGTTGCGATTCAACCATTTCCATGGTCATCTGTCTAAAGGTAAGTACATACATACATAAATAATCTAGTACACGGGGGATATTAGGCACCTAGGGAGAAAAGAGCAATTTCAAGCTGTTTTATATTTGGAGTAGTAAGCTAACAATGAACAGAAAACCTCTCTCTCAAAACTATAAGATTAATCAAAGTCATACTTTCCCATTCCTCCATGTTCAGATCTTCATACAGTCAGAGGCTCGAAACACACGTACTATGAAAAGCTGCAAGGAAAGGCAGCTCTGGGAACGGTTCTCTAGAGAGAGGTGACAACAGAGTGCCAGGGTCCCACCACAGAGCAAGGCTAACCAGAGCGGAGAGCAGGATCCAGAGCAACTGCCAGCACTGGCTGCAGCTGCTCCCTAGGACCTCGTCCCCAAGGAGGCCGGGCTCAGGATGCCCAGCAGCCACATGCCAGCACACCACGCTCGAAGCTCATGTGATACCATCCCAGGCTAGGATTTGTACTTGAATTGTCTGTGAACTATGTGTGGCTCAAGACCCACGGACTGACCACTCTTCTTGCTTTGCAGGTTTTAAAATTAGGCTAAGTTTCATAGGATAAACAACTCCATAACCCTCACTTAAACCTGTGAGTTTAAGCTCCATAGAGCGAGCCTCCAAACCTATCTGCTGTATAAAGATACTATTACCTTCCAGTTGTTTTTCCGTATTTCTTGACACACTTGGTCATAATGGAAGATGTGTGTGATCTAAAACAAGAGCGTGGTTCTCTCCAGCCCCCTTCTCTGCTGCCAGAAGAGGCACTGCAGGTGCAGCGCCCCGCAGCTGATGTCACAACGGGGCCCTAGCAACCCGTCCCCAGGGTGCAGCAGGGGACCCGCCAGAGGGTCCCGTGGGCTCACGTGTCCCCCAGGCCCGCCCCACGGCTCTGTCTGACATAACTTACTTTATACAAGAGATCAGGACCACAGGAGGGAGAAGCGATACAGTTGTGGGTTTTTAAGAGGCAAGAAAAAAAAAATCTTTCTTAGATTAGGATCAGCAAGTTCAGTTACTGTAACTAGGGCACCGCAACCCAGTCTGAAGTGTATTTTCAGCTATTTCATCTGGCTGACAGCTACTGAAGTTTCTTCTCAGGTCTTACACTAGGATATAAAATAGACAGAAAGGAAGTCTGCTCCTGGCTCCTGAATTAAGACCTACATGTTACATGTCAACTGCATTAAATCAAATTAAACAAGCTCAACTTTTTTGCTGCAGTGTGTTACAGAATATTCCACATCGATTTTTTGAGGAGACAAAAAAAAATAAAACAAAACACAATATCCCAAACCCCCACCCTTTTTGCCTCAAATGAAGGCATGAAAACATCAGTTTACCTGTATGTTCAAAAAGGAATCTAGTCAAACGATATAGAGAGGCATACTGCAAACTTGTAATCCCCTAACAGTACTGTACCGACCAGATTTAAGAGACTGCTTTGCAAGCAGGACCTTGCAATTTAAGCACTTCACTGACCATAGCTGCTGTAGTACTACAGCTGTTGGCAGCCAGGTTTTATACAATTTAAAATTTCAAGGGCTAACATTAGTTCTTTTTTCTGCCAATAGAAGTTATACATTCTATGCCTTTGCCTCTCTTGGGTATCTGCAACAGTTTTACTGCTTGCAGTAAACAGTTTTACATGGCTTGCAAATGCTCTCTCCTTAGAGCAGAATAACTTTCTACTCTCCTTTCCAAAATAAATCTCAGGGTTAGAAAACGTATTTCATCAAAAACTTCTTCAGCTGATAAAAATAGCATCACTGACAGGACAATATTAGGGGACAGCAACAGCTAAAGGAAAAAGTTGTCCATGTGACCCAAAGGTCAGAAGTCATTTAAATCTAGATATATGAACCTTTCGGTATTTTTTCTCCATAGACTGTAAGCTAAGCACAGCATCCCTATCAAAACATACCATTGTGTAACAGGGACCCCCCAAAAAATCTTTTTTTCCCCTCTCCATATTGCAGTTTGTTTTACAAGGCATTTTTTTTAAAGTATCGTATTTAATGTCTGTTGGTGAGCTTCAACTGTGAAAGCAAATTGGTGCAGAAATTCATACTGCTGAATACATATGACTTTTCTAATTAAATACCCAGAGTCATTTTAAAGATAATTTCTTTATTTTAGCATTACTTTATATATCAGAAACTGTTCACAAAGATGGCTTACTACCAAAGAAATTGTAAGGAAAAAGCTAAGAAATATGTTTCAGCGCTTGCTCTAGATATCTTCTTCAAGGCTTTTACTCACAGGGAAGTTACTAAAAAGCAAGGATGTGAATCTACAAACAGCTGCTTGGCATTAAGCGGTGCCCCCATCCACAGTGTGGAAACTCTCAGCATGTATTAGTTTCAGAAGAGCTTTGTGTTTTAAGTAGGAAGTCTAAATTATGAAATCTAAAACCCATTTTGCTACACTGCTATGTGAAGTTCCAGGTGGTGACCGTGTTCAACGAGGTAAAATGAGCAACACTGCAGCAGATCAGGCTCTGACAGCAACTTCTGTGAAGTGTTCAGTATTAGCACAACAGTTACTTTCTTGCATCTCCTATGCTCTTAAACGCGTCTCCCTTTTTTTCGCCTCATCTTAGGATATAGACTTTACCAACACCCTCAAAAAACTGAAAAAACCCAAACTGCCACTACCGTAAGACCAAGCACACTGCCTGTCACACTGGACATACCATCTCAATAATCCTGCCGAGACAGTACGGAGCCTGCTGTAAACAGGACACAACAGTCCACGTGTGGCAGAAACACAGCCCAAGCAACAGCCACCGAACAGAGAAGAGGATCGCTCCTGTGTGTCAGCATCTGCGGGATCACTTAGCTGCTGCAAGACGCGCAGCTCCTCCCCGCCCTCAGCTAAAACGTCGGCGCGGCAGCGCAGGATGCACACAGAAAAGCTGCAGTTCACGCCAGCCGCAGAGCTCGCG